TTTCCAAGTTTGCCATTCTAATCTTGCTTGTAAAAATTGACTGGATAGGCTAAAAGAAATTTCCCAAGAGCAACCAAACATCCTCATAAATTTATGTTAATAGTAAAAAACAATGACTTATAATTCCTATTACTAAAGTAAATATGAAGGGAAAATATATCCTAATAGAATAAATCAATAAAGAAATTATTGGAACTTACTAGTAAGCTGATAGCTGATGATTACCCCCAAAAAAGACATAAAATATACTCCTGACACTATCAAGGAACGACAGCTTCCACAAAATGTTACCTACAAATCACTCTTTCAGTCCTACAAATTTATAGTAAAAACCATTTTTAAAAATTTTTTAAACTGTTTCAAGGTATATTTATATGTAACATACATAATGTAATACCTTTAGTGCCTGCTTTAAAAAATTAAGCTTAAAAGGTTTTGTTGTTCTTGCTGGCATAAATCCATTCAATAGATAGTATGAACTTATACTTAATGATCCAAACCAGGACAGTTTTAAAATCGAAATAAGGCACTATTAATTATGCCAGGGGGAAAAAAACAAAAGTGGGACATATGATCAGCCCATCAGTGGTCTACTCTTTTATCACTCACAGTCCACACACATTTTGACCTATTCCTGACATTACTGCTGTTATGAATCTTAAACATCCTGAAGGATCAAGCACCAGGCATTCAGATTTGATGAGATCAAATTCCCAGATTCTCAGTAAGACATTTAAGTAACCTATCTATTCTAGGAATTAAGATTAATGAGCTAAATTAATTCACTCCAGCTTGACAAACTCTCAGAGGATGTCTTATTTTATTTTAAAGTGAATATTAAAATGTCTGGTAAAGGTTTCTATTAGATCAAAGTTTTAGAAAGCATAACACTGATGGGGAAAACTGCTCAAAGTTATTTTAATTCAAATCTAAAATTAAGAGAAATAAATTTATAATATACATTATTTTTTAAATCCATGCTTCCCATGGAAAGACACTACCTTTTGTTCTAAGTCAAAGAAATATTCCTTTTTTATCTTGCATAAATTCTTATTTATTCTGGACAAATAGAGAAGTTGCTACTTCCAAAGCTGGTTTCTCATCCTCAAAAGAAAAGTACTTTTGATTACTTTGGCTCTTCTTGCTCTTTCTAAAATTAAGAAGAATCAAAAGAGTATAACAGCAAAGTAACTATCTCTTGAGTGTCCTAAGTTTGAGATTCTGACATTCATTGATAACCTCCACTGAGTAAAATTAATTATGTGGTTACTAAAATCTGAATAATTCAGACTAACTGAACTTCAAAAAACTTAGCTTTTTTCTACTTGAAAGGACTTAATTTAGCTCAATTTTATATAAACATACATTCTGCAAAACTCAGACTATTTAAATTATAAACTATATCTAAAGCTAGTTTATAAACAGTGATCATACTCACATTTAACTTACAACACTATATTCTCTATAAAGTAAAGAAACGATACAGTCTAGTTCCTACAAATAGTTTGAAAGAAAACATTTTTTTAAACACAGTACATTAATCTACCCTACAGCACTTTTTACAGGTGAAATAAAGGATTGATACCTACCTAATATGCAGAATACATCAGCAAGAATGGAGGGCATATCCTCACGAAATTCCTAATTATAAAAATATAATTATTCATAGTAAATACAAGAACAGCACACTAGCAAGTATGGTTTCAGAATAATACTCTTCAGTAAAACCTAAAACCTAACAAAACCCCAACACCACTACGTTGACAAATAATAAAATTCAAGTTTCATAATACAGAGAAAACAGAAAAGAGACAACAGTTGGAAAAAAAATGTTTAAATGTCTACCATGAAATAACTTGATAAAACACTTGATAAAAAAAAACCTAACAAGCAGGGCGCCTGGGTGGCTCAGTCAGTTGGGCGTCTGTCTTTGGCTCAGGTCATGATCCCAGAGTCCTGGGATCGAGTCCCACATCAGGCTCCTTGCTCAGCAGGAAGCCTGCTTCTCCCTCCGCCTGCCACTCCCCCTGCTTGTGCTCTCTCCCGCTCGCTCTCTGACAAATAAACAAAATCTTTTTAAAAAAATGGTTAAATGTCCCATAATATGCCCAAGAATCATTTGGCTTGGGGTCTTATTTTGTTTTTAATGTTTCTCAGGTTACTTGCCAAGCAACCAAGAGAACTTGTGAGACTGAAGGTGCAGAGATTCTCACCCTACCTTTCCCCACCCCCAGCCAAATCTAGAAACTTGGACACCAGGCAACAAATTAAGGTCCTGAGGTTTGGTGAAGAGGGCTCTGGTTCTGGGTGAGTAGCACAGGGTTAGAGCCTAGGCCAAAAAGATCCTAGACCACTAAACCCAAAACCAGGAAGAACCATTTCCACTCCCTAAAACTAAACTCAAGTTAGCTAGCTCCATGACTAATTTTCAGCCAGAACTTTTGATTTAGAGCAGAAACCAGCAGAGTGTGGCCTGTGGGTCAAATCCATTCGGTTTCTGTAAATAAAGTTGTACTAGAACACATTTATTTACATATTGTCTATGGTTACTTTCAAACTACATCGGCAGAGTTGAGTAGTTGCAACAGAGACCATATGGCCCACAAAGCAAACAAATATTTACTACCTCACCCTTTAGAGAAAAAATCTGCTGATTCCTAATTTAAAAGAAAGAAAAGGAATACCTATTACTTTTTTTGAAGGGCATTCAGAAGAGTTATAGTTTAGCTCAATAATCAAAAGTGTCCATCTCTGATATCTTTCCTTGAATTTCTAAATGACGCCTTTTGCCATCTTGATGCAGGGTTCATTTGAGTGGGGTCTATGACTTAGTAGCTAAAGAGCCTACTAATCACTATCCTTTCCCATTTAATAAGTTTTTCAAATTTACTGTCAGACTTGAGATCACAACCACCATGCGGACTCATATGATTCTCCTTCTTTGCTTACTCATGCAGTAAACAGTCCCTATCTAACGGGATATAAACCTTGTTTATTATCTTTAGGATATAAACATTTTGATGTGCCAGAATCTTTTAGGGAGCAAATGACTAGCTTTTAATTAAAGGATGATAAATAAGGATTTCTCCTGATCAGACCAAGTGCCCTGAAATATAAGTGCATTTAAATGCATACCCCCCAAACTAGGTGGAGGTATCAGTTCTGCCAATGGCTAGTGAAGGAGATCAGGCCTGAGATAGCTTTGTGGGAGGTATTATGTCCAGACTGCTCCTACAGAGAAAACGATGGGAGTAAGCAAGGGGAAACTCGTCCAAAGATGCCATGAAAATAAGATGCTGTGTCAGTGAACTGCTCTGGCCAGATGAGACAAGGCCTGCATGGAGTCTACATTGAGGGGAAATCCAATAAATTTTAACACTGAAAGAGTACTCATTGGAATTGGAGTCTTAACCTCAATTTTCATGTCAATAAAAAATTCCTTTCTCAGACAATGGGGGAGAGGACAGACTCAGCAAGCCAGAAAGAAACAAACACTTGAGTCAGGGAAATGAGCTTACTAAAATCCTCCACGTCAAGGGAAAGATGCTAAGAATCACTATAAACTCTACAAGAATGAAAGAATTTTCATTCATTTTTCAACAAGTATTTATTTGGCACCTACATACCAGGCACTGAAGTTAGAGGTACTAAACAAAACAAAAACCACTATTTTCATGAAGCTTACATTCCAGGGTGGGTAGAGAATAAATTGCAGTTCATGTTAAATGGCGATAAGTGCTCAGAAGAAAACATAGTGAATGAGAGGGAGTATTGAGGGGGATGGCCAGGGAAGGCTATACTGGAGAGGTTACAGGTGAGTGCTTCGGGCCTAGTGTGCTTGGGAGTCCACATGATAGACTAGAATAGGGGTTTAGCCCAAGAAATCAAATTCTTTATATTCATGGAATATCCATGTGTATCATGAGCTTGCAGTTGTAACTACCACATTGTTCTTCAGAGACAGTAACATAACCTGTTCTATAGGAGAGCCACGTTCAAGAAAAGAAAGTAGTGTATATTTTCCCAGTTAGATAAAAGCATAACTTCAAGAAAATCCCTCTTTGAAATGTTCCTAAAACAAAGGACTAAAAAGGTATAAACCCACAAGGACAAAAATTAGAAGAAACAAGGACAGATGAGAAATGTCAACAGATAAAATAGAAACAAAAACAACTGAGGAGCTTACATAGCATAAATTTTTTTTTATTTTTTTTAAAGATTTTATTTATTTATTTGAGAGAGAAGGAGCAGTGGAGGGAGGGAGAGAGAGAGAGAGAGAGAGAGAGAGAGAGAAGCAGACTCCCTGCTGAGCAAGAAGCCCAATGGAGATCATGACCTGAGCCGAAGGCAGATGCTCAACCAACTGAGCCACCCAGGCACCCCAGCATAAAAATTTTTATGTGAGAAATATCATCTTAAAAGAGTACATGGCAGTATGATAAGGAAAGACAAACTATAGGAAAG